TAATATTTATGTTACTACCGTCGGTAGGCAACCGACCGTGACTTGTGGTATTACTGAGACTAGGCGACCGACCACAGATTGTGTTATTACCGAGGGTAGACAACATACTGTGGCTTGTGTTACTACCGAAGGAAGGCAATCGATCGGGTGTTTTGTAAAATAACCGATCGGGTGAGCGCAAGGAAAGTAGATTGTAGACAGCCGTTAAATGCTCATGAATGCATGGTTAATGGGATAACGGTCATTGTCGAGTATTTAAAGAGGGTATTGAAAGCCATTAAGAGGTAAATTAATGGATAATATTCCCTGTAATTGTATAAATAGAAGTCAAAGGGGAAGGTAAAGCCTCTGTTCAATTTTATAATTATAGACTTGTGATAGCCCATTCTGACTTGAGCAACGGAGTGTTTGCTGCAGGTCAACCCTCTTTTATTGACTAAGGACGAGCGTAAGGAGCGGAGAGAAGAAGAACCGAACGCACGAGTAGAGCGAGTGTTTCTGGACGGACATAGGAGTTTCCCCGGTCTCACTCAGCAGAAACATTTTGGCGCTCACCGTGGGGCCGAGCGACATCCCGCTGAAAAACTACAAGGAACCAAGATAAGCGCTCGGTCTCAGCATCCCTACTTCAAAGCAAAGCGAAAGCTATACAACATAAATTATCATCTCGGCGTGGAATTTCAACCGAGAGATAAGTATTTTTGAAATATTATTTTCAACATGAAAATAAAATAATAAAAAATCTGCTCGGGAATTAGCTTGAAGCATTGTTCGAATTTTATGACGAACAAGAGTAACATCCAAATATATTTTAGATATTACAACTATTTAATATACCAATGCCCATCAATTTAGCATGCAAAGTGTAAGAAACACCTGCGGCAATCTTTTCACCAATATTTCAACTTTATTATATTATAAACAAACTCCATACTTAACTAGTTTACTGAATCAACATATAAGTATTATGGCAAGATTTATTCTGTTTCAGCCAGGACCATCATAAGTTTATTTTACTATTACTGAATAATTGAATATCATGATATTCAAGATTGATTCATTCAAGAGCAAAGTCCGGTGACGCATTCACCATAATATATTCAAGATTTATTCTGTTTTACTATTTTTTTATGGAATAATTTAATTCAATATCATCTGACTTGATTATTCCGGGGGTTGGGTAAAGAAGCATTTGGTAATCAGGTGGCATGATCAACAAGTGTTTTGACGGGGAAAGACACTCTCCCAAGACAGTCCGCCGTAAGATCCATCGGAAAAAGTGTCACCGCCAACGATATGGGTTTTTCTCTTCGCCCAACGGACGTAATCAACCAGATGAATTTCAAAGTGAAGTCAACATTATAGATCCCATGATCAAAGATCAACTCAAATAAAAGCTAAAAACCACACTGCTTCCCGTACGGCCGTCATCATTATGCTGCTACAGTGGCAATTGGAAGTTTTATGTCAATCCAGCGCTCTCATCTGGGCCCGTCAGCGGTCCGTTGGCCGCGACACCGCACGACATTATTTCAAAAGCTTTGGAAGGCTTGTGGAGTGGACTCGATAGCGCGCCTCTCTGCCCATCCGGTTTTAGGGGAAATTTTAATCCATTTCAACAAAAGACTTGCTGCAATCATCTTTGCATCTAATTTGATCAGTTCCCTCACACGATGCTAAACAATGGCCAGAGTCAAAAGCCACACGCGCCGTTCCGAGCGCGACCTCTACATCATCGACGTTGACGGAGACCGTGTGAGGGTCACTGCCGCATCCACAGCCTCTGTCGGGTGCCGTTAGATCTTATCCATTTTCAATCTCCATCACCGCCCTGTTTACCTGTGGCGCCTTCTGGCGGTGCAGATCCTCCGACGGATACGTGGCAACTCTGCGTTGGTCGCCACTGCTTTATCTTTCAACTCGCTCACGCCGACTGCGTGCCGAAGAGCCTCCGCATACTCCTGAATCATAGGTCTCACACCTTCGTCAGATTTTGGAACCATTCGGACCGCCGGAAGCTGAAGCATTTGGAACAGTGTTTGGGTATGTATCGCGATCCTCTGGATCTGAGATATTTTGCGGAAGCTGGGAGCGATGGGGGTCTCGTTCAAGATTCGGTGGAGGAGATAGTAGAGAGATGCTTTGGTTACGTAGTGGAGAAAAGGAATGATGGTTTGGCATACCAGTTTGCTTATTTGAATTGCATTGAAAAGGAATGATTTTTAGAAGGAATTGAGGCAGGTCGC